AAAAAAAAAAAAAAAAAAAAAAAGAAAGAAACGAAAACTCGCCAAATACCGCAACACTTCAATACCAAGTCAAAACTCGATGTCATACCGACTCCATTACTCTGTATGTCAAGTTGACATCATTAATAACAGGGAAATAACAATTAGGACTTTGTTGATGAACGTTATGTCAGGTAATCGTTGATTTAGACAAAATAAGTAACATCCATTGGCGTGTCGGCTGATAATTAACAAAAATTATTTATCTTTTTCCAATAGGAAACTGGAAAAGTCTCGGAAAACGTTGGAAGACTTGGAGGATAATTTTACATACCGTCCAAAATGCTAAACAACCGCATCCCGCAGGTTCGGAGAATACCACGTAAAATGTTTTCCACCCACACTAAGCTACACTAGGCCGGAGAATTACCGGTCATTTTGAATTTGTGTTCGAGAAAAAGTCGGGTGGGAAATTCACATGCCTTGTGACCTCATCGTTTTCATAAAGCTCCGTTTTCAAAAAGTTTTCCGTCTACACGAAAACGAAAAGCCGGCGTTTTCAAATTCCTCGGGTTTGAAGAGCCTTTTCGGAAAGCTCCGTTGTCGTGACGGATAAGTGTGGACGGTAGGCCTAACCGTAGAAATAAAGCTGCGTTTTCAAATTCTCCGGCGCGGTGTGGACGCTGCCTCAGAAAACAATAGCGTCCGCGCAGGCTCTCGTTTTCACCAGCTCGCTTCCCTCGCCGACTCGACTCTCGCGGCTTCACCTTTGCTCGTGGTATAGTGTGGGAGAGCTGAATTGTTGTTATTAATTTTCATTGTAGTTAAGTAGATAGTCAGTAACTTAATCGACTGATGGAAAAATCGTGTATGAATAAAGTTATCTTATTTTATCTTATCTTAGAGCCTGTTTGCAGGCTAGTGTCGCATTTTTCTTCAAATACTGTGTGGAAAACACATGCCTGCTTTATTTGGTTTTGCTGCGGTACCTTATACTAAGGTAAGATGAAAAACAAAATTAAATGACACGCGAGAGCTCAAATATCATGAAGAACCTGCGAGTCGAGGTCCTTCAACTCCATTTCTTCCCGACCTTTTTACAACAAATTAAATCATCCAAGTACAATATCAATGTTTGTAGCAAGATTCAGCTAACTTGACTAAAGGAACCTTTCAATATTATCATTATTGTAAAGTGTAATTAATCTTTCTACAGATCAACAGTCAACTCAAATAAATACCGCGTCTTGCCCTTACCTAAGTTAAATGACAATTTGGCAGCTGAATATTCCGTTATTTTCTGTGTATGGTCGCATAAGACGCGTCTTATAAGTAGCATTTGTCCCAGTATCACGAATACTAACAATATCCCTTACAAAGTGGTAGACTGATGATA